CGAATCAGGGTCAAAACCCACCCCATTGACAGGTCTAGCAGGAAACTATTGATTTAGGTTGTTTAGTTGATCTACTCAATCATGTCGTGTGTTCTGATGCATCTGGTTCTTGGAGATTAAAACTTGCAGGTGACGGTAATTTCTATGTGCATAACTTGAGGGGTGTTATTGATCAAAAAGTAACCACTCCAGTGATAAATCCCATTATCTGGATAAAGTTGGCACCTTTAAAAGTCATTGGGTTTGTTTGGCATGCATGTATGGTTCGTATCCCTTCTGCGTTAGCTCTCTCGTGGAGTTGTATTAATATCTCATCTGCTATTTGTCACATGTGCTCTATTGGGGTTGAAGAGTCTGATCATATTCTTGTGGGATGCCATTTTGTGTGTGATGCTCTTAGCTGGATTCTCAACTGGTGTGACATCCATTTTCATCGTTTTCCACGGTTTTCCGAGTTTATAAACTTTGCGAGACATTGGGGTAATTGTCCAACAAAACGGAAGATTTTCTTTCCATTTTCTATGGTATTCTTTGATGTGTTTGGAAGGCGAGGAACGAAAACTTTTTAGCAAAATCCATACTTCTCCTTCAAAATTGGCGGATAATGTGCTCTATATGGTTTTTAATTGGGTTAAACATAGGGTGAAGTTCGAGGATTGTAACTAGGTCGATTGGTGTTGTTCTTCTTTTTAACATCTTGTAATGGTTTTTAGTTTTCTTTTTGTCTTGTCTTGTCTCTTTTAGATCAAGGTTTAATATATTTCCGTAGTTTACGATACACATTTTGCAATAATTATATTGCAAAAACTTGTGTTAAAAGTTATTCGGAAGGTAAGATGCTATGTTAGTTTTTCCTTTATATAAAATTTCTAAGTTTCGACAGTCTTTAGGATTTTTGGTCGGTTAAGACGCCTACGTTTATATGGTTTCTAGTTTAGAATATGATTTAGTCTTTTGTCTTTGATACGGGTGTTCGTTTATATAACCAAGCTTTAGCTTGTAATAATTTTTGCTAGCTCCTTGATATTTATAATAAATATTTTCCACATTTCCAAAAAAAAATTATATTGCAAACGGTGTGGCCATTTTGTTATATACCATGATTATTTTGTTAAATGATCATCTCGCTATGGTACTTTATGATAGTTTCAACTTGAAATTAAATATACAAATTTAAAAACTTATCAACCAAGTTGACACATCAATATATATATATATATATATATATATATATATATATATATATATATATATATATATATATATAAACTTATCAACCAAGTTGACACATCAATATATATATATATATATATATATATATATATATATATATATTGAATCAAAATTTTATTTAATATTTTGATATTATTGTGTGAGTAAGTTCAATTGAGAAAATAAAAAATGTTGAAAATAAGGGAAGAATTTTCAGCCAATCATTTTTGCTGCAAAATGCTATGTTGTACCGATACGACGGATGATGAGTAATATTCACGTATAAATATAAATGTAATTGTATTTATATATGAATCCACCACCTCCCATCCGCCACCAACCACCAACACCACCGCCACCTCCGCCATCGACCACTGTCGCCATATTCGTATATGAATAATCATTTCCTCTATATTTATTCATATATGAATACACTTACTCATATATATTCATATATAGATATAAATATTTGCCGTTCCAAAAAAAAAGATATACATATCCATATACGTATTCATATATGAATATGATCTAATCCGTTTAATCCATTGGCCCGAAACACTGAAGCGTTTAAAGAGCAAATTTAAAATGAATAATCCATATTCATTCTTTCATACTCAATGTTTTCTTTCTCAATTTAACATTCATCTATTATTGTAATGGTTTTGATATAATTGGTACTACATATATCAGGCAAAGATTTGAAAACATGTTGGTCACAAGGACACTTCACTAGACTTCAACCCATTAATGATTATGTTTTCCATCACATCTTTATGCAGTAAGAGACTAGTAAATTCTCAATATTTTTATTTAAGTTTTTCTTTAATTAATTTTGAACTTATTTTTCTTTTTCCAAAGTCACGGTATCCATATAAATCAAATAAAATATTCTTTTGAAAACAATCATGAATCATGTGTAAAGAATTAATCAAATAAAATATTTTTTTTTGTCAAATCTCATATATGGTTTATTTTTTAGTCTAAAATGAAATGCAAAAAGTGAACTGCAAAAAAAATTATGTCATTTCGACTTCAAACAAATGAGTTGTGACAATTTAAAGAAAATGATATATTTAGTATAATGTTGAAATAGAAAAAAAAACCAGTTTTGATATCCCGTACGTTGAGGCATTTAATTCAATCAATATGTAACAAAACAATGTGTTTCTACGCTGCAAACAATAAATTACATATTGAAAAATAAATCATATCATTTTGATTTTAAACGAAGAAGTTATGATAGCTTAAAAAAATAACAGTTTGTGCATAATAGTGAAGTAGAAAATAATTAAGCTTTGATATCACATGTTTCGGGACCGGTAACTCAATCAATATATAACAAAATAACATGTTTCGCACCATTGATGATGGATTGTAGCCATTTAAGGATGAAATGGCAATCTCATGGTGATTTATAGAGTAATTTAAACATCCAAAACTCATTTAAATCCGTGATTAGAGAATTCCACCATTAGTGGAGCTTGAAGCTCAAAACTTTAAGTGGTTCTCCATAAAACCAATTAAGGTTTGGTTCAATGAAGAATGGAGTCCACATGCTAAAATCTTCTGCGAATCTATCATCTAATTCATCAATTTAATCACCATCATCGTAATTGGGCTTCAACCCCAAACGCTAGGTTCAAATTCAACATAAGAGGAAAAAAATTATACCTCACAAGCTTGATGTTGCTTCCTATCTTCAAACCTTAGCTTGATTTCTCATCAAACACTCTAGATCTTCCTTTGCTCCATATAAATCGTCATTTCTCTCACTCTATCCTCTCGAACATGTTCTTCCCTCTTCAAATTTTCAAATGGAAACGAACTCAACAACCCCTCAACTAGTGGTGAGCAAAAACCGCACCACAACTAAAATTAACCACAAAAACCGCTACCGATAAACCGCAATCGCAATAAAAACCGATGGTGAGGTTTTCTGTTTTTCAAAAACCGCAAATTTGCGGTGCGGTGCGGTTGTTAGTTTTCAAAAACAGCAAAAAAAAAAAAAAAAAAAAAAAACGCACCGCACCGCATATATTATATACATTTTTTTATTAATTATTAATATGTTAAATATTAAAAATAAGACAAGTTTCATGAATGAAAGAAGGATAAAATTCTAGACGACAAAAGTGTTGGGTTTTTTGTTATGTTTAACTTTGAAAAATGATGAAATTTCACAATTTTAAGATATTTATTCTTAATTACTAGTGATTTCACGTTTTTAAGATATTAGTTGTTTGTGATTTAAGTTAATTGTCTTATACCTTATTCTTTTTTTATTATTACAAATAATATGTTTGAACTCTTAAAACCTTTTGAACTCTAAACTACGGTTAACAACCTCACAAAATAACCGCACGAAATCCATGCGGTTAATAACTGAAACACAAAGAAAACAAAACCGCACTGCAAAAATAACCGCACCAAGCGGTTTTGAAAATGGATTAACCGCATTTGCGGTTAGTGGTGAAGTTTTGGCCAATAATCGCACCGAACCGCACCGCGCTCACCCATACCCTCAACTAGTTACATCTTTGGTCATTTGGCATATTTTAGTCCTCCTAACTTTCATTATTTTCAAATTTGACACTGTTTAATCCACTACTTTATGGAAATTCTATTTTTCACACATTGACCCCATATAATCATCCTTTTTAGTTAATCGGTCATTAACTATGTCAACACTAGTCATCAAATTTGTTATTTGGCAAAACTAGTCCCTCAAGTTTAATCTCTATCATTTTTATTATCCATTACTTAATTTATTTTTAAGCTCTCATCATTTATATTTCAAATCATTTTAGAAAATTATCCTATAACTCATAATTAGTTTATTATTTATGTAAAGTTAACTCATTTTAATTTCTTATAAAAAGGACAAAACGCCTAAGTCCATTTTAAAGATGTTACATATTATACATAGAGTTTATGGGTTGCATAAATAATTTGATTGAAAAAACTCTGCCGTTATAAATATTATTCAAGTTTTTTAGATTGATGAATTATCATTTGAAGACTTCAATGAAAAAAAAAATACACACTAAGATGCTCTCTATTATCATCTTATAAATGCTCATTAACTTAGATTTTAGTTTTATTTATGTGAAAATTGAGTAATAATTATGATATTGACTATAAATTGTTATTGTCAATTACTTGCATAATTGATATAATATTTTAATTTAGTTTCTTTAGTACCTTTTGTTGTTATTATTGTAACATAAAGGGTTATTATTATAAATCGATAACAAATTATTTTGTTTATATTCTAAATTGGTAACAAATTATGTTGTATTGAAAAGATATTATTAGAGTAAATTACACGAATGGTCCTTTAAGTTTTCCCTTTTTCCCTGAAGTAGTCCTTATGAAAGTTTTTCCCTCATATGGTACCTACGGACGTAACCTTGAACGCAAACGGTCCCTGGGTTGGATGTCTGTGTAAAGCAACGTTAACATTCCCCATGTGCCTTGCACATGAGGTATTTTAGTCATTTCACCTAAAAGGACCATTTTTGAACAATTATATGAAGAAAAGGTACATACCATTTCCTTCATTATTCAACACGAAGATTTTTTACTCTGCTTATTCCAAAGATGAACATCATAACTCTGGCTTCGAATCTGCCTAAGATTACATCTCAACCATTTTGCATCCCTTTCATTTTTAGCCCCACGAAAAAGATTGCAAACTCTATTCCAATTCACTAGATAAAACGCCGATGGGGTAGAATCATAAAATTATATCCACGCCTACCTTGAAACCTTGAAACTACCCGTGAAACCTAGTAAGGACCTTTGCGACCCCATTTGTTTCCATTAAAAGTTAATGCGAACTCTTCGATAAACTTGTAAACCAATGGATGCATTTTATCGAACACCATGATTGCATTATTTAACCTGCTCCAATTCTTTGAACTCAAATCCAATGTTTGAGATCCGATTGAATTCTTTAACTTCGAGAAGCTTTTCAAGATCATAACATCGGTATCCATATAAACCCCACTGAATTTATATAACAAACAAAGCCGAAGCAAATTCGATAACTTTTGACCAAATGGAATGAACCCTGCATCAACATCACCTTTAGTTAACTTAAAAACCCATGATTCTTCCATTGTGTTCTTGAACAAGTAATGTAAATCAGGTGAAATTGTTGTTACTCGAAACCTTTTTTCCTGAAATGGTTTTAGAATCTGGCGTCCTTTATTCGAATCCATGGAGTTTAAAAGAATTAACAGACACCCATTTGGGTGCATGTTGAATACAATTCCGATAGAGTGAAGTTCTTTTTCACCAAAAGAATTCAATGGTGAAATGCATGTCATAAAGAAACGAACCTTGCAAGAAGTCTAATTCTTGCTAAAGAATTCCTAAACTCTCGCACGGAAATACCCTCACCGGAGCTGGTCAGAAGCCTCCATAAAGGTCAAACCCTCGAAAAGTTTCTTCTTTATGATCGGGAAATCTTCGGATTTGAAAGATAAACTATGAGATTTTCGCAGAAGGGTTAAATGGGTATTTGAGATTACAGATGGGGTTTCTTCTTTCACCAAGGATATACTCTGCTGCTGATGTTGCCTACATTGTACATTAAGTAAGGTACATAGTTGAAGCTCGTAAAATCTCCACCGCCGGCCTCCGTCTTTCGCTATAACTTTAAATAAGTTTTCGAGATTATAGATGGGTTTTCCTCTTCAAGCGCATACATCAAGTTTGAGAAAGAAGACGACACATACACCAAGTTTCTTGAATCTCCGACGATATTTTTTGGGTATGGTATCATTATGGAGAAGATAGAAGCTCTATTGAAAGCATTTAATAGAAGCAAGAGAAGAGATAAAACAACAACGAAGGATCTCTTCTTATTCTCCATTGACTAGTTCTCTGAAACCAGAATATTTTAGGTGAAATGACTAAAATACCCTTATGTGCAGGGCACATTGGGCATGTTAACGTTACTTTAGACGGACATCCAACCCAGGACTGTTCGCGTTCAAGGTTACGCCCGTAGGTCCCATCTGAGAGAAAAAACTTTCGTAAGGACTACTTCAGGGAAAAAGTGCAAACTTAAAGGATCATTCATATAATTTACTCATATTATTATATGGTAAGAGACAAGAACATTTTATCTATAAAATATCATTAGAAATGAATAAAAATAAGGATCCATAAAAATATTTTGTGAACAAAATGTTCATTTTGTTTAGCATGTGATAGTACTTTCCAAACCCTAAAATCATGTAATCGAAACCTTAATGCAAAGTATTCTTCATATATTTTATGATTGTATTAGGGTAATTGATATTAGTCAAAACTAAACATACATATTTAATTACACACACTCCTACTTTAATTTTGATAACAATGTTGAATAAAGCATCCATACTATAAGATTTTTCTTGTAAAAAATAATTAGATTTTTTTCAACTTTTTTACATCATAGTTTTTTCATTGAGCTTGTTAGTTAATAATCTCTTGGAATCGAAACCTTATGATTTTTTTGTGAGTTGTTGTTTACTTATAACTAGTTGAAAGCATAAGACCTATACAATAAGGCTTCTCGGAGTGATGCCGAGACTGCCGAATGCCACATCAGCAAAATGAGGGGAAGAAGCTCGACAGAAGAAGAAAAATGTGGGGAAGAAGCTCGACAGAAGAAGAGAGGGAGAAGAGGAGGGGTGGTCTGCACAGTGAGGGAGACGGAAGGAGGAAGAGGGGAGGAAGAAGAAAGAGACTCGACACATTTCTATCGAGTTGCCGAACTGAGCTCGGCATGTCGAGGGGTCGGCCAAGTGTTCGCCAAGGCCTCCGAGGCTATTGTCAAACCCACTCCGTCCGGTCTAATTGAAAAAGATCATACGAGATTATTAATTAACAAGCTTAATGGAAAAAACTATGATTTAAAAAGGATCCTTTAATACTTTTTGCATTTTTCAGAAAAAAAAATCAAAAAGCTCATATTATAAATGTTATAGATAGTAATAATAATCCAAAACACTAAATTAAAGGAAGAAAAATCACGCCATTAAATAAAATATACATGTGAAATCATGTAAATTAAAATTGTAACGGGTTCAAAAGATTATTTTCATGTAAGGATATAAGGCTATCGATTTCCTCACATGTGAAAAACAAGCCACATTATCATCTTATCATATCATAAGATTGTGAAAATGGTGTCCACTAGTGAAGAAAAGGGAGAAATTAAAAAAAAAGTGGTGAAAGAAAAGAGAAATAGAGAGAAACCTTCCGTGAATGTTAGTGGAAACCCAATCCACTAGACAACCACTAGAATTTGAAACGGTGTTCACCGGTAGAAACCCCCCTCCATATCAACTTCTATGCATGAAATAGTGTCGATACCGGGTAGCCTAAGGGTGGAGGGTATTCTTTCCACTCATTCAATCTATTTCTCACATCAGCTCCACATAAGTTGTTTCTCTCTCTCTCTCTCTCTCAACCACCTTAATTTTTAAAATTTTAAAAATAATACTACTAATTAAAATCATATGAAACTATTATGTATAATCAATTGAGAAATGAAAAAAAAGGTGGTCTCCTATACGATATTGCAGATATCGAAAAAAGTTTGGAGGATAGTACGACTTCTGATGCTGTTATGCAAGCTCGTGTGGGTTTGTTGAAGTCACTTGGTGATATAGATAGAGAAGAGAGATATGATGCAAGTAAAAAAGCTAAAGTTAGATGGGGGATTGAAGCGGATGAGAATACAAAGGTTTTCATGCTGTTATTAATCGGAAACGCAAACAACTCTCAATAAAAGGTATTAAGCATGAGGGTATTTGTATTACGAAGCCAGGGGAAGTTAAAGATGTTTTCCTTAGATATTTTTCGGAACAATTTAAAAAGTTTGAAGTTGTAGGGATTACCAGGAGGAGTGACCAGTTTAAGTCTTTAAATATTGATGATGTTTCTTTTTTGGAGGGTTCGGTTTCTGAGATGGAGGTTCGGGAGGCTGTCTGGCTTGTGGGTCTGACAAATCGTCTCGAACAGATGGGTTTACTTTTTTTTTTTTTAAATACTGGGATATGTTGAAGATAGATGTCATGGGGTTTATCACAAATTTTTTTGCGTCTGGGAAGTCCTGTTGGATGCAATGCGTCGTTTATCACTTTAATTCCAAAGATTGAAAGTCCAATCATGGTTTCTGATTATCCTCCTATAAGTCTTATTGGGGCTCAATATAAGATTATAGTGAAGTTGTTAGCTATTCGGTTATCTCGAGTTATTGACAAGATTGTTAGTTGTGAGCAATCTGCGTTTGTTCGGGGTCGACAAATCTTGGATGGCCTGCTTATCGTTAATGAAATTGTCAATTGCTACAAAAAAACAGCTCATGGTGTTCAAGATTGACTTTCAAAAGGCTTATGATTTAGTGTTATGGATTTTTTTAGAGAGGATAATGCAATTCTTGGGGTTTGGTCAAAAGTGGGTCGGATGGATTTGTGGTTGTTTATATTCGGCAAAAGCTTATGTGCTTCTTAATGGTAGTCCTATGGCAGAGTTTCAGTTGGAGAGAGGCTTACGACAAGGTGTCCTCGTTCTCTTTTTTTTTTTGTTATGGAGACGCTTCATGTTGCTGTGGAGGATGCTTTAGATGTAGGTTTCTTTCGAGGTGCTATGGTTGGTTCTTTACATTTGTCTCATTTATTCTATGCTGACGACACTTTGTTCTTGGAAGATTGGTCTCGTAACAACATTGTAGGATGGTTCGGCTTTTACAAATTTTTTTTTTGTGTTTCTGGGTTAAAAATAAGGGGTCTTTTGATAGTTGCTGACTGAGTTAATGCTGACTAGGTTAGAATTTTTGACTGAGTCCACATCTGAATGAAACCATATTGTTTGATTATATCTCTGACTCGCTGCAGAAAATGATGAAAAATGACCATATTACCCTTAGAGTAGAGTTTAACAGGAATTAAACTCTCCATTATACATGATTCATGTACATTCATACATAAATACATATTTCACTCTACATTCTATTGTTTTGCTCATATTTAGACTAAAGAATACAAAAGCCATTGAAATGAAAGGCTCACAAATCTTGACTTTGAACTAAATCAATAAAGCATCATAAAAAAATATGTCATTCAATTTTACAAAATAGCTTCGATATGGTTCCGAAAGTTCTGATCAACTCATACCATCTGTCATCTTGCTTTGATGACTGAGTTGAACATAAAACCCGTCCACAGGCTATAGAAAAACGAAACATATGCCTCATGGAACAATTTTCTTTCGATAACAAAACATCAATTTTGACTTTCAAAACTTCAATTATTCTTGGGAGCCTAACGAATGATCTTTGACTATCTAGTATCAACGATTCTTGATGCTTCCTTACATACAATAACTAGACGAATTCCCGCGCGTTGCGCAGCGAAGATTAAAAATATATTGTTAAAATATTGAAAAATATATGTTTAAAATGGTTATGTTATTGACATTAACTTTGAGATAATACTTTTACGATAATTTATATATATATATATATATATATATATATATATATATATATATTCTCAAATAAAATGAACAATAATATTCATTGACATCAACCCACATTCTTCATTAATAGAATTAAATATAATTATCTATTTAGTATTATTTTTAACAATTATTATTATTGATTAATTATATTTTTACTTATGCGATCATTTTCTAATTTCAATAATGATGTTCATTTAAAATACAATTTATTTATAGCTAAATGTAATTTATAATTTGATGTTATTATCATTTAAAATTGTTATTCATTAATTTTAAACCACTTATTATTAATAATAAGTTAAAGAAGACTTTTAAGAAACACTTAATATTATTATTAAAATGTGAAACATACACTAAATAATAAAGTGATAAGATAGACAAATTGCATTTCAAAAGAGACTTGCATGGATAATATGACATATCCATGTAATTTGATTCTATTATTTATAATTGTTGCTTATTAATTTTAAAACCCTTGTTATTATTAATAAGTGAAAGAAACTTTTAAAAAGCACTTCTTATTATAATTAAAATGTTAAACATATACTAAAATATAAAATGATAAGATAGACAATTTGCATTCTAAAAAAGGCTTACATGGATAATATGACATATCCATGATTTTTAATTAATTATTGTTTTGAAGCAACATGAACATACAAACATGTATACAATAGTTATTAAAAATTACGTATATCACCTT